GAACTTTATCACAATATTCTAATTTTCTGAGACAGTCCTGTAAATGATATTGCAGAATCTGTTTTCTTCATAGATAACATGTTTTTCATTGTTTGTTCAGTACTAAAAGGTCCAAGNCAAGATGTACTATTCACGCCTGATGGTTGATATACAGGACTGTCTCAGAAAATTAGAATATTGTGATAAAGTTCTTTATTTTCTGTAATTTTTTAATTGCATTACAGAAAATAAAGAACTTTATCACAATATTCTAATTTTCTGAGACAGTCCTGTATATCAACCATCAGGCGTGAATAGTACATCTTGTCAATGGAAAAAGGAAATAGCACCAGTATAATCAATATTCAACCTGAGATTTGACATAACAGAGAACACATAAAGGATCATGAGATCTTGGCATTGCACATAAAACAAATAGCATCATTAAAATCAACATTTGCCTGCTCTCTCTGGATCCAAGCGGGCCCTTTCACAGCGTAGGATATCACCGGCTGCTTCCCTGAACACAGAGGTACTTGTTTGCCATACGAGACAGCATTGGTTGGAGGTTGGATGTGTTGCCACCTTTCCCAGAAATAAACTTCTTGCACTGGTTACAGACCCCACCATTCAGACTGGCAGTGGTTACAGACCCCACCATTCAGACTGGCACTGGTTACAGACCCCACCATTCAGACTGGCAGTGGTTACAGACCCCACCATTCAGACTGGCACTGGTTACAGACCCCACCATTCAGACTGGCAGTCATATGCAGCCACACTTTAGATTTTCTAAAGTGACTAGTTTGCGGAATTTCACGGTGAAATTGACATCGTAATTCAGACGATTTGGGCGCGAGTTTAAGGATATTACGCCTCACTTTTATAAAAAAAAGAAATATTTCGGTACGGTATACCGTAGCCGCCAGTAACCGGTATTTCGGTAATACCAGGAACCGGTATGCACCCCTACATCTAACCTTAATTGATTTGTGCTAGTGGTTTAGTGGTTCTTATTTAAGGAATATAATCAAGGAAATAACCTCCCTACTTGAGCTTTATGATGTTAAATGTCTTTTTTTTAAATGGTTATCGTTCATATTACTATTATTTGTTCTTTTGTTATATATTTATTTGAATGACTAACTTTGAGAGCAGGTGGGATTTTTTTTTACCAACATTCAATATACCCCTTCGCCCCACTAAGATACTGTAGCCTGCATATTGTGGATTAAGTCACACCAGTGCAAAGACTACGCACAAAACGCATACCTCAAAAAAATCAATTCAGTTTTGGGAATGAAATGGCAGGAAGAGGATTTTAAATAGAGCATAACTGTTTTAAGATTGATGTAAGGAATCAACAGGTAGATGAGAAACACACTTCTTTCTGCTCTGGTTTCTAGATAAAACTGAGGGATATGAACAAACCAAACTACTCTTTCTCCTTTTAACTTGCCTCTTATCACAAACTTTACAACGTTTTTCATCATCTCTGTGCGTAATGACTTCAGAAAGCTTTGCAAGTTCTGCCTCATATTGCCATTATAGCGCTGTCTTGGATGTCTGTTATGATGAAAATGTGCTGTTGTGTAAACGCCCTTCTTTTTGTCTCGCTCACCCAAAACTTCCTCTTTAGTTTTTCAGAACTTCAGAGGAAGTACACAATCTGCATACCCCACAGTGACTCAGTTTTAGATGAGTGAACAACGACCTGTTTCCCAACTTCCTCTGTGCTGCTGCCAACATTCCTGGAGTTTATTAGTTTATTAGTGAAAAATGGGCTACTAACATGGAACATCTGTGAAATGGGGCCAATATCAGTGTGTGTGTTCCTAGACAGGTGCATGATGGGAGATCTTACTTGGTTGTACACATTTCTTTAACAGAAAGACTTAAAGACAACTTTATTTGTTTTTAATAGTTGTGAGTGAATGTGAAGGATATATTACAACAATCTTTACACAAAAAATAAATAAAATATACAACTTGATCTTATATTAAGGGTCACTCCATCTTTACAGCCCTCCTGATATGAGCAGAAGCCGAGACTCTTCCGCTACACTCACAAGTCACAATGTACAGTAAAAAAAACCATGACAAATGTATTTTCCTGAATGACGGGTGTTCTTGCATCATTGAGTGCATGCAACTCAGCCCTGGAGATCAGCTTGTGAATGCACTCTGGTTTCCTGCCCGCGGTAACTTGAACTGTTGGCGGGGAGCGAGGATGTGGAGCATCAGCTGTCGTCATGTGACTGCAGGTACACCGGCTTGGCCTGCTTCCTCAGGCGCTGCTGCGCTCGCAGCTTCCTGCCTTTCTGAGTTGCCAGTCCCAGCGGAGGCAGGTGCATCTACAGGAACATTCAGAGAACAAAATAACTGTAAGAAACACCTTCACAGACGGGAAAACATCCAAATTGTCCAGTGAAAGGTTTATTACTTACAGCCCTTGGATATGGGTTCCTGTAATGTAGACCTGGGAAAAATAAATGATTGTGTTAGTCACTCTAACTTTCTGTCCTGCAGTATATCAATGATTGGCTTTTTATTTTTTGTGCATGAACCAGGAAAATGACCTGTGTAAACATCATAGGCCAAAAAAGAAATAATAGCTAAATATAATTAAATTTATGATTTTATAATGCAATGTTGTTTTAAATTCAATGGGTTTTGCTACATTGTTGTCCCGAGAGTATGTATTTGGGCAACACAGTTAACTTTAGAATTATCACAGAAGCTGAGGTTGAACACAAAATGTATGGCATATGCAATAACAAAATCCACATGGGTAAATAAACCCTGCACATGCTGTTGGATGTCAAACAAACACAAGAACAGTATGTCAATGTTTACTCCTCTGCTCTCTCCTCTGAAACACCTTCAGTTGAACTTTCTCAGTTACTTGGTGACAAACACTTCAATTAAATATGTTATATGAGCTAGACCCCTGGAATAAATGGTGAACCAAAAAAAGACTGGTCATGCTAACATTAAAGCATTTTAGGTTGAGTGTGAAAGGGAAAGCATGTTAGTGGCTTGCAGTTGATAGATAGAAAACCTGTAAGGGAATGTGTGGCATCTCTTCACTCTTACCCATTTCTATCCTTGCTTCACATTCTTCTACACACCTCTTTATTGTTTCTGGATCTGTGAGCTGAGAAGAAGAAGCACACAGAAGAAGAAAAAATGAGTCCCACAAACTGCTATAAAACGACTTCCTGTTTTCAATTCTGCAATCAGCAAACTGTTATACACACCTGCTGGTTCTGTCTGAACAAAGTGGAGGCCTCATGGAGAATGTATTTCTTCTCTGTTTCTATGTCACCTACAACTCCAATCTGTGCCTGCCAGTTTCTTGCGATGCGAAACACCCGCATGTACAGAGACAACACCGTCCTGCGAGTGGAGGCTGTCATCGAGACAACAAATCACAGCAGTCACCTGCACAAGAAAGAGATTCAGATTTACAGAAGAATTAATGGAATTACAAAGCCTATTACTGTTGTACTGTGTGTATAAAACACAAGTCCTACCTATTATATTTTGTAAACAATGTTGAAGGCATTACAACAATGATGATTACACACTTGTCTGTAAATATAGCAAGTATTTTTGTTAAATTGTCTAAACTTACCAAAACTGTATACAAAATCCCTCTAGTTTTGGATACAACTTGCTGGATATCCCTAACTCAAGGCTAATTTACCTTAGAAAATACCTTTTGGATGCCTAAGGGACACATGCAAGTTCACATAAACTGTTGTTCACACAGGAGACTTAACATGGTCCTAGGAAATGTGCAAAAAGACCAGAAAATCAACCAGTATTATGCCGAAAAATTTCAAACTATCCCCCGGTTTTTCAGGCCTATCTGTGTTTGTTTCTTTTCCATATGATTGGTGTAAATATAACAAACAAAAATGAAAATACAGTTGTGTACAAGAAAGTTCTACAAGACAAGCTAATAATCCAAGACACAGGCCACCGGAAGTCTGGACAGGTTTTACATTAATCAACACTAGATGTCACTAAAAACCAACCCAGGGCTGTTTACCAAACATAGCATATTACATGACTGATAGTAGGGTATTAATCGGATATTCTGATATGTGTTGATAGAAAGAATAATGCCATTAGCGCATTTGTCATAGGCATTCGTATTAATAAAGGTTTCCCAAACAGAAAACAAGAACAAAAAGGAGCTAGCTATCCTTGAGAATCACAGCTTCTAAAGAATCATGTTGTTAATAATAAACATAGAATTAACAGCAAGTGCCATTCACATTAATAACGATTTACGTTATAGCTTATTAGGTTTAAATATACAAACCTTGACCAAAAACTCTATTTGGTGAAGAGGCTATTCCGACAGTAGCTTGTAGGACAGCAAAAACACATTTGTCGCCTGGTGATGACGTATTCCCCTAACTACAAGAAAAAAAGAAAAAAAACAAGATAAACGAGTGCCTCTTCTTTTCATTTAGATAACATTGGATATGTTAATACCAATTAAAGTAGTAGCATTAACTGAACATTTCATATGTATAGACCCAGCTTAAGTTATGTGTTACAAATGTTTGTTAACACATTTTACAGAATTAAATACAATTATTTCAAGGCTCTCTGTTAAATATCAACAAAACACGAGTTTAAGTAATTGATTTCGTGGTAATTTTCCCATCTGGGTGTTATGCAGTATTTCAAAGTACAAGTTATTTATATTTATAGACCCAGATAAACCCATGTTACAAATGTTGGTTTTTTTATTACTCATTTTACAGTGTTAAATATACTATTTTAAAGGCTTTCTGTTAAATGTCATCAACAAAAAACAAAAAACCCACTAATTGATTTCCTCAAAAATGGCTCCATCTGGGTGTTATGTAGGATTTCAAATTACATGACATTAATATACATTGATCTTGCCATCGGCTGAGATGAGGATCAGCTGTTGGCTGCTTGTCGGCAGAGAGGAAGTGATGCACGAAAATGCCCACAATGTAGCTACACTCAATGACTAAAAGGGGGAAGCACAAAGAAATGGGCTGCTTTTAATACCGAGATGGTCCTTTAACTCACTCCAAAGAGCGACCACAATTCAACTGGGAATCAAAAGCACAAAGTGGTTACTAGCGTTCCACTTATTTATTTTTGTAAAGCGGATTTTATATCGATGAGGAAGTTTTTTGTCATCTACTTGCTACATTTAGCTAGCAATCTGAGTTAACGCGACGAGTTTGCCTCAGTTCGTTTCTACGCTACATTGGACAACTTAACTTAATTTGTACTGGCGTCTCTGAAGTGATGTACCTCAATTTCCACACCCTACAATATCCCAAAAAGGTGAGTTTCTTTGGTGTTTTTATGTGTCCCTAATCGGAAGACCTAGCTTAGCCGATAGCTAACTTTTAGTTGATGCTAGCTAGCTATGGCGACGTCGTCAGGGCCAGCAGGCAGTGGCATGTAAATGGCCCTGTGCCGGTGATGTCTGATGGAAATATAACACCTTTACGACAAGTAACATCTGAATTACTATATAAATCACATTCCCGGGATAAAATGGTTATCGTATCCTCTTTACATGATATCTGTGAGTGTTTCGTATAAGCTCACTTGATCCTGTCTGTGCTCGCCACTTCCCTACAAACATAACTTGGTTAAAAAAACACTAATGATAGCTAACATTTGATACCATCAGCTATCTAACTTAACCGAGGCTGTGGTTTGACAAATGTGTTGCACACATTCGTACTATAGCTTAGTTTAGTCGTCCCTCAATTTTGGCATAAACAATCTACTTAACCTATTTAAACTGATGTCTGCTACTGTCTGTCTTTTATATAGTATGCTTAGCTTTAACAATCATTAGTATTGTATCGGAAAATAGGCCATAGGTGTCAATTAGAGGTGTGTTTGGTGAAGTCAGCCAGGATTTGCTAGTGAGACCTTTGCCTCGACATGCCCAGTGCCATGAGCAGGACACTCGATTGGCTCTGATACTGAATACACTTTTTTATTATTAATGTTAGCCCAAGAGTCGTGGCTCTGCAAAGGCAGTGATCACTACACTAAATTAGTTTTAAAAGTAACCGTCCACATCAGAGTTGTAACATTTTTAGGACAAAGCCAGTCTACCCTGTGAGAGGTCTGTCCCCTTATATTACTTATTCTCAACCAGAGTTGCAAAAGCTCTTTTTGCCATCTTCTCTTTAGTTATAGAAGCCAGTAATTAAATAATCTTACAATGAGACAAACTGTTTTGCTCAAAGTACTTTTTCATTGCATGTTGGTAAAAATAGTCCTGCAGGTTTGTGAGAGATGAGATCACTTTCTGCTTATGATGACAAGATAATGTGTCTTTTCAGCATTGCGGATGTCAAGGTCACAATGATGGAGCAGAATAGAAACAGGCTTTGGCCAATGCCTTCAGAGGGATTGTCTGTAAGTTGCTTCCTGATCAGCTTCGTGATAAGTGTTCAAACACTTGATTTACTCACACATGTCATGTGTTTAAATGTCATAGGACAATGATTAGCTGCATCAGAAGAGATATATTGCTTTTCATGTTGTGTTAGTTTGATTTCTTAAACACATTGACACATTACTCAGTCAGTAATGCATGAATGTGCAGTGGAAAGAGGCACACATCAAGCTATCATGGTTATTTTGAAAGAGGAATCGGAATGAAATTGTATTTGTGCCTCCAAATTAATCACCATTAGGTCCATGTCAAAATTACAAGTGCTGTAAAATGGCTTTGAATTTTTTTTTATTAGCAACCATAACAGTTCCTCAGTCTTGCTCTTACTCAATGGTTACTATTTTAGAACATTTTGATTTTGTGTGATTGCATTTTTAATCTGTATTTACTTGTATGTACTAACCCGGCCGGTAAAACTCTCTCTTAACTCCCCTGATGCAAGCAAAGATAAACACGTCATTTATGGCTTTATTGCATATAATTAAAGTAGAATAAAATGCAATAAAGCTTATTCATTACAAAATAAGTTGAGATGTTGACACTGGGAAACCCAAAGTCTTGTAGTAGCTCTTTGTTCAACATCCAACCAGTTTGACCTCAGCAGGTTTCTGTGGTCATGTTTTCCTTGTAGTTCCTGTGTAGAGCTTCCTGTTGTGTCTGCACTGTGTAAGCATTGGAGGTATACTCATACAATGTTGTCTCTCTGTGCTTTACCCTTTAGGCTTTTTAAGTTTGGCATTGGATCTTGGCAGATTTGGCACAGGTATGGTAACTTCTTTAACTCCAATGCTCAGAAATCCTCGAGTTTCATTTCATGCTACTAATAGCCACAGGAATGTGGATCTTGACCTTTTTAGATTGTGAGTAAGTCTAGAGCTGCACTGTATGGCAATTAACATTTTTTAAATGTTCTTCACCTCAGGCCTGAGGGTATGTTGAGACGTCTCACAGGGCCAGAGAAGAGGCGTCTAGGTGGTTCAGACGGGGACTGAAGGTGAGGAGGAAAGAGAGACCAGGGACGAAGACATGGGTCAGTGTGTCACCAAGTGTAAGAACCCCACGTCCTCGCTCGGCAGTAAGAGTGGGGACAAGGAGGGGGGATCCAAGTCCCACCACAAGAAAGGTGGTCACAAAGAGGAGCAACATGCCCCGTGTAGCAAAGCCATCGGCGAGCTGTCGAATGGCACCAAGGCCCTGGAGGTCACAATGGAGACCCCCGTCATCTCTGCCATGATGGGGGAGCCACACAGGGACATGGGTCTGGATGGGAATGGGCTGTCGATGCTGCGCATTGAGGAGCTGTTCTACTGCTACAAGGATGAACATGAAGACGCCATCCTGGAGGAAGGCATGGAGATGTTTTGCATCGACCTGTGTGTGGATCCGGCGGAGTTCAGAGTGCTCGTTCTTGCCTGGAAGTTTCAAGCAGCAACCATGTGCAAGTTTACAAGGTAGGGTGGGGTTTTGGGGAATGAGGCGTGTTGTTTTTCGTGGTGTCTGTTCATCAGGAGGAACTGGCATAACTACACAGATGCACAGTGTTTGGCTAGTTACTAGGAGATATGACAAAGGTATTTCCTCATCCCAGATGATTAATACAAATAGTTTCAATAGCGCTCGCCCTGATTCCATTGCCAAACAAGATGCTCTTATAAAGGTATTTATTTGAGCAATTCTCAGTGTGTGTCACATTGTGCTTACACAGAATAACTGATTTATGAATGAACAGATGGAAAGTTACATTTTTGTATTATCTCCTTGTCATTTGACACTCACACACACACAGGACATACTGTACAGTATGCAGTTAGAGAGATGTTGGAGGGACCGGGCTGCTAATGTGTGAAACTATGTACCTTTCTTTGAGCCTGCCTTGGCCAGGTCTCTTAAAAAATAAGTTCTTCATCTGAAGTGGACTCTCCTTGTGGGATCAAATGTTCAATATATATATGTTCATTTGAATTCATTTCTTATTGTTTTGTTATTTTTAATTTGTATCTTTAATTGGATTTAATCTGTGTGAATCTGTGCTGTTTGTTCATCCTTAGCCTGTTGCTGTTAAGCTACTGAATTCCCCCACAGGGATTAATAAAGATCTATCTTATCTTATCTATAAATAGCTGTAATGAATAGCGCACCTGTACAGACAGATTACCTATCATAAACTGAAATGACAACATTATGCCCTTTTTAAAATACGATCGCTATCAAAAAGAAATGAGATTCCCAAAATATGTATAAAAAAATAGATATATAAGATATCTAATTTGGAGTTTAGCTGATCTAAAATATACCAAATCCATATAGTTTCTAATATTGACCCATTTTATCAGGCAACCGTTTTCTGATGCCACCCAGGCATCGTGCCCCACTAATAACTAGCTCGATGTTGGACGATTACACTTGTAGCCTCAGAAGAGACTTCCCCTCGTGCCTTGTTGGACTCATTCAGTCATTCACTGTGCAGCGGCCCATCCATAAACACTTTTCTCATAGACAGAACTAGATACAAACTCACACAAAACATTTCCCACAGTCAGGTAGGGGGGCACACAGGAAAGGGACCCTGCTCTGCTGCCCCTCTGCAGTTGGTGTTAGAGATGAATAGGGCAGCTGCCCCACATGATTTTTAACTCAGCACTTTCCATCCAGAGGCTTTTGACAGCTCCACACTCTGGTTATCAGCATGCTTCATTGTCGACTAATGCTTACTGAAGCTGTTCAAAATATGACTTTGAAAGCCTATATTTCTCTAGGGCTCAAATAACAAATTCTATAAAGAAAAAAACATTTTTAAAGCTCAGTTTTTTAAAGGAGTACTCAACATATCTCTAAAAGTTAAGTGATGTTCTAGTTTTCCTCGATCACTATGCTTGAAATTTAAAAACCAAAACGTACAACAGGAAACGTAAACAATCAAATTATAAATTGTTCTCATTGTATTCAGATGGTATTTATAGTTGTTTTAAACACATGGCCCTTATGTTTACAATCGATGACTTCACAATATTTTATTCTAGCTCTTTAAGCTACTAGTCAGCTCTGGCTCTGCTCATTTAGTTTTGTTATTTGCCTCTAGGATTTATTATCCTGAGTGAAAAGGTCTGCTTTTATTCTGATGCCTGGTCTTGTTTACTTTGTGTCACCAGGAAGGAGTTTACCGACGGCTGCAAGGCCATAAAGGCAGACAGCCTTGAGGGCATCTGCTCAAGTTTCCCCGTCATGCTGCTGGACGCCAAGGGCGAGGAGAACTTCAAGGACCTGTATCGCTTCACGTTCCAGTTTGGCCTGGACGCTGACGAAGGCCAACGCTCGCTGCAGCGCGATATCGCCATCGCCCTGTGGCGCCTGGTGTTCACCCAGAACTCTCCTGCTATCCTGGAACACTGGCTGGACTTCCTGTCGGAGAACCCCTCGAGTATTCGGGGCATCTCAAGGGACACGTGGAACATGTTCCTCAACTTTACCCAGGCTATCGGGCCCGACCTGAGCAACTACAGCGAGGAGGAGGCGTGGCCCAGCCTCTTCGACACCTTCGTGGAGTGGGAGTTGGAGCGCAGGAAAAAGGAGGAGGAACAGATGGCTAAGGAGGAAGAGGGGAGGTGTACTGACTCAGAGTGTTCTCCCACTACAGACAGACTTGAAACAGAGGGAAGCCGCGGCTCACAGACGTGGGGGGGCCACTGACCAGGAATCAAGAAATATGTGCAAGGGAGGGAAGGATGTGACCTACACGTGAACTGTACATCTGTGAATCATCGGATGAATATTAGTATTACCATGACAGCTGTTCATTTCGCTCTCCTTTTCTGTCGGGATGGGATTCCTGCTTTGCACCCTTATCTTTTTTGGTTTTCAAAAGGGCTCTAAGAACTGTTATGTTTTAAGCACTTCTATTTAAGTTATTGTTTTACATATTTTTCTCCTCCCATTTGTGTTTTTAGTAATTGGACGCGGGTCCGTTTAAACCTCCACCTACGTACCATAACCCAGCAGATTTAGATCCGTTAAAAATCAGGCAAAAGAAAGCCATAACTTCTCACAATGATCATATAGACAGTTCCTCTGGACCTGGTAACACCGCTGATATGTTTTGTTCAAGGAAATAGTCAATCATAAAAAAGGTTTTTTTTTTTTCACAAATAATTTCTTACTATCAAAACATGAGGTTTACCATAAGGGTCAGTTGAATGGTGTTGATCGGACTAATCTTTGTTAGATTGTATGCGTTTATCTTGCAGTGCTGTGAGGATGAATTGGTTGCACTTGTATTGCCTTCACTAATGCATGCTTGCTATTACACAGCAAGCAGTAATGGATTCAATTCTGTCCCAAGGGCTTTTATTTTTTTTTAAACAAAGTTAAAATTTCCATTTAATATCCAAGTTGGTAACAGACCCACCCTTTCTTCTGTGTTGAGTGTTTTTGAGTGCTACTAGTACGGTGAGGGCTGAGCTTGTTGAAGCAGCTGGCTGCGCTCTCTTTTGACCTCCAGCATTACCTATTTGATGTCCACCTATTTTCAAGAAGGGTTAGGTATAAAACACAATGTTCTGGCTTTCCTAAGATTCCTCATTTTAGGAAGTTGGTAACGCATCAAATCAGCTTAAAGAAGGTCTTGGTCATTTCTTAGAGAATTATGCCTAAACCTGAGTTCATGGCCTTACAATGGGCGCCCCACATTTTTATTTAGTTTACCTTCAGGAGTTTAACAGTCTTCACATCTTTGATCTGATAACAAAAAAAACGTGTGCACACTTCCCAAAGGTTGACTGCTGCTGGTGTTGGTTTGTAATGAATTGCACAAAAAACAAATGGCATGCTTAGTCGCTATACTTGCAACGCTTTGCAAGAAGATTGATGTCAACCACATCATTTACATTTAAACTTTTTCCAAACCGTTTATCAAGCTCAAGTTTAGACCTGTGTGTTTTGGGATGAGTGAATGAGTGATAACAGCACCTGCTGGCTAATCAAGAGTCTGTGGTAAGAGGGTGGCACATAACCTGATCTGTTTGGTTTACATCTACAATGGTTTTATTTCAGACCCCCTTTGTCCTTTTTTATATAAAATGTATTGATTTATAATGAATAAAAACAGTGTTGAACTTTTGACTGTTGCACCATGGACATCTGTGTGATTTTCTTCATGGATATTTATTTGTAATCTTATGGTATGCTAATGCTGAATAACATTTGCATGTTATTGAAGCAGTGTGGTTTTGTAGCAGAGGGTTTTGTGGAGGCTTGTCTGCATGCCAGAGCAACAGTGAAAAAGCTTATGGGGTTGGGGGCGTGGCTTACACTGATGCGGATCTTCCCATTGGTGGACATCTATCCTGGTTACCAACCAACACTACTCACTGGGCACATGAGAAAACAAAGAAAAACTCGTTTATTACAAAGCTAATGGCTGACAAAGTACCGTTATTACACGGACAGTAAGTCGTTCTCTAATATTTATTGGAACTAGAGGAAAATGTGTGCGATAATATGAGCGCAGAAGCCTGTGTCATTTTATGTTGACTGGATACATGCTAATGCTAACTGTATAGCCACTCAGTTTGTTGTTAGCATCAATGCTAACCAAGCTATGTTAACGTTCTCTCTGCTACAAAGCCAGGAGCTCATTTGGAAATAGGCCGGAAAACGCTATTATTGTAGTGTTAAAACTGCAGAAAATGCCTAGCATGTTAGCTGTAAATGCCATTGAAATTAATATAACGTTTGCTGGCAAATAATATGTGACTGTTCTGCTGAATGTTCTTGCGGGTGGGGCGACATTTTAAACGCATTGAAGGTAATTGAGGTTTTATGTGACAGGTAACCTTGGGGTTATCCTCATCTGTGTTCCCTCTGCAGCGGTGATCAAACGCTACACAGGTTTTAATGATATTATTGGAGAAGCACTGGCCCGCTGCAAAATATGGGATAGGGTTAAGTGAAGAGCATCATCTGCAGCCACACAATGGATGACGAGGTAAGCAAGGACCATTTTATGTAACCACTCATGTGCTCTGGTTCACATCATCTGTCATTTTACTCCAAGAAGCTTTCTATTACAGCAACATTGCATGCCATGTTTACAGCAGTTTTCCCTCTTGTTTCTCTATTCTGTCACTAACAAGTGCTCTATTCTTCCTTCAATTTTCTTTGCTTCTCTTTTCCTGATTTTGACAGATCCTGTAGCCTAGTTGACTTGTAAGGGTTTTGTGATTTCTTTGTTCGTCTTGCATGATGGTTTTTAAAAGAAATACATGGAATGGCATGAGCTGTAGGTGACTGTTATGCAGACAACAATTTTGGCACATTTTGTCCAAATGACCACTGGTTATGGATCAAGGCTAATATGACATAAGACTTAAGCAGGCAGACATATGTTTTTTTAAATCTGGATGAGTTCATAATAATCGAGTCCAGTATTCCCTAAACACAATTCTTATTGTGAGAATTGTACACTCTCTGTTAGTCTTGTAAATCGTGGCTTTTATACACAAATGGTCAGTTCTTCATCTATCTGTAGTTACATGTTATTTTAAGTAGTTTACATCGTAGTGTTGTGACATGTATTTCAAATGCTAGTTTGTGTGTAAGGGCTATATCTTCTCTATATTTCAATGACACATAATTGCAATATGTATCGGCTCTTGTCACTTTGTAACCACTGCTTTACTCGCACCTAGTGAGAACAGGGTAGCATCGACTTTGAATTCGAGCATGAATTTGACAGGACGATGGCATGAATTCATAAAAGTGTTGGAGTTACTCCACAGGGATTATGCCCCGTGCTGAGTCAGCACTTTCCCCCACTGTGTGTGCATATTGTTCATCCTCCTTTCTTTTACTGTGATCACTATTTGCCACATCACCTCAAAATGCAAAGTCTGCATGCCTTTAGAGTTAACTAAATATTGTTGTGATCCCAAAATCGTCATTGTCTTCTTAGCATGTTAACACAAATAAATATCTCAAATAAATATCATGAGACAAATGGAAGGCTATTCATTAGAAAAAGGAATGACTGTATCGATTCACCTGAGCTCCAGCAGTGTTAATGTATTATCAGTTCTTGTTGAGGGCCTGTAAGAAAACGTTCCCAATTGTATTTATATCTCATTTTAAACCTCACGCTGACACTGACACCAAAGACCCTAACACATTGCAAGTTACATAACTCTGTGTTGTCTATCTGCCATGCTCCGTTAACATCTCGTCACATTGCATGTGCTGTATTGTTGCTTTATTTACTGACCGGGGGAGCAAGTTGTTTGCTTAGAATGTTCCGTACAGAATAAAGTGGATATTGATTGTAGTCCGTGATCGTGAGTACTCGTGAAACAATGGAGTGTTTTGTGTCTGTTTTTTTCATCAAATAGCTGATGCAGGATTTTCTGACTCTGCATTGTGTGTGTTTGTGTACTCATGCTGGTTTTCTTTAAGGAGAGTCAGACATGCCAAGGAGAGAAGCAAGCCTCGGCTGTGGACGACACCCTGGATGAATATTTAATCTCCCTCCAGCAGAAAAACAGGTGAAGTGTGAGCATCGGCTGCTGGCGAGAGACAGATTGGATTTCACAGAGGAGACACACAACTGCTCTCTTCCTATCACTTCCGCTTAATAGGAGCACTGATTGATCCTTCCTTAATTGAGATCAACTAAATTAGTTTGTGAAATGTGGGATCGATGTCAGAATACCTTGAAAATATCTCAAGTCTTGAAATGAGACCATAGCCTTCTCAAATAAGTTATCTTTACTTTTAATTGTAGACGTAGTGACCATTTTTCTTTGCTTCTCAGGATCCTTAAGCGCCTTAAAGTCAAAGACCCCAGGCAGATTGAGTTGGAACAGCTCGAGCAAGGTTTTTCTATTTATCTTAACGGAGCCAATGCTGAAGCCAAGACGAAGCAGACAAAGAGCTCCAACCACAAGTCTGTCACCTCCACACCCGCCTGGAGGCCTGCACGGGCAGCAGGTACCAAAATAAACCCACACTCAAAATGAAAAAAGCCTTATATAAGACCTCATTATTTTTGTACCGCCATTGTGCGGGGGGGGGGATTCTTCTTTTTAGTTTTTTTAGCCTTGTCTTTATCAATTTCCATCAGTAAAGACACACAAAAAGAAAAAACAACCTAAAAATGTATCAATTAAATACAAAAAGACGGACTGACACGGCATCACCTAAATAATACAGTTAATACAAATACAAACACAGTGATAATTATAACATTTATAAATAAAACATTCAAAATAATAACACTTCCTAGCTCTTCAAGGCCTCAGTCATAATTTAATTTGCCATCAAATGCATTAAAGGTTCCCAGAGGAATTAAAGTCCTTCTGTTTTCCTTTGCTAATATTCTTCCTGAGTCATTTTTACACTGTAACGTAAAGCCACATCATTCTACTGATACACACATTTGTGTTGCTTCTGTCATCTCGAGAGCATATGGAGCGTGAGTTAATAGCCACCACTTCTCTGCTTGTAGTTTGCCTGGTATGACCACATGCCCAGTCCCATTGAATAAATGATAGTGACAGTTCTAGCTGGCAGCCAGTTTCTCGGTCTTCCTCAATGTGCCGTGGACCATCTGCGCGTGTGACTGCGTGTTCCTTCTCCTCTGAGGCAATCGTCTGCTTCAAGCTGCTCATGTTCCTCTCCGTGCTGTTACTCATCGGCAGATGTCTGTCGGAGCGCCCACCAGTTAACCGAAGATAGCCGCGATCTGGACGAGAGCAGCAGGAAGAGGAGTCACACTGCTCCGGGAAAGGTCCAGAGGAAAGAATGGGCGCAGGTACTGACTACTTGGATATATAATCATTGATTGTGCTTCAAAAATAAATGTAAACACCTAAATGTTTTTGCTCGTTTGTCATGCATGCAGGATTCTGTCAGGATTCGAACAGAGGAAGGACCGAGTGTGCAGATCTGCCCAGAAAAGCGCTACTCTGAAGATTTCGAGCCCTATGAAAGCATAGACATGGAGGTAGAGTGAACAATGTCTGCTAAGCCTGTGTGCGTGGGTGTTTTCTTTTTAAGGGGAGGGGCTATGTGTCAGATGCAGCTGTCTGTACTACTTAGCATCTCTCCATCTCTGCCATTTCCCCCTTTATCCAATCACCTGGTTCCAAACAGAGCTCCAGCCTGCGCTCCCCGAGGGACCCCTGCAAGGTGTCGCGCTCCTTCAGCTCCAGGCACGAGAGCCAAGGAGGGCAAGCCAATCAGGAACACAATGAGAAAGTACTTCTCAACCTTGACGAAGTGAAGGTGAGCAGAAGAAGAAATATGTCCATCCTTGTTTCCTCCTCCTAGGTGTTGATTTATGACGGGTTTTTTTCAGGCACAAATCAGTGGAAAGCTTAAACTGTCAGCCGGCGTGTGTGTGTGTGTGTGTGTGTGTGTGTGTGTGTGTGTGTGTGTGTGTGTGTGTGTGTGTGTGTGTGTGTGTGTGTGTGTGTGTGTGTGTGTGTGTGTGTGTGTGTGGTAGCGCCTGCGAGTGCTTACTTTAATGACTGAATGCGCGCATGCATAAACGCTGACCTTTTGTAAACTAGGTGCTGCGCCGGAGCCTGGAGGTTAGCATGAGGCGGAGCAGCCGCGGCTCAGCGGGGGAGGAGTCAGACGAGGAGTGGGTGGAGGAGCAGATCGAGAGGGACGAGAGCACCGAGAGTCTGGATGAACTGGGGCTGCCTCTCCCCTCCTCAAAGTGCTCTTCCGACCCTCGCTCCAGCAGCTCCCACAGAGACTTTGACTCAGCGAACCTCATCGTCCTCGACTTCGGACCCTCAGCTCAAGGTAGGCTTTAGCATCCTTTCAGATGTAAATGACTTATTGATTTTAAGGGTGATTTCATTGCTTAGAGTGGTTCCATCTCCCCCATATCTGCCTCATCAGCACTGACCTGTACACATGAAGAACAGGCAAATGTATTAGCTGCACACTTTAAATGCTTCTTTTTCCCATGACTCTTTCCTTTTGCTTACAAACTCACTTTATCTCAACAAATGACTCCCACAACAAATTGTCCTCAGATTTATCTTGTGTGTTAGTTTCAGGTCGTAAGATTGAACGCTCTCTGTCCGCAAAGAGAAGAGAAAACACTGACGCCTTTGTACCCACCAAGCCTATGTTGGTGAAGAGCAAAACATTAGATAGGCCGCCTTCCAAAGACAGCTGGGATTGTCAGAGTAAGTCTTTTACAAATAGATGAATGTTTAACAAGTCAATAAACTCACTCGTATATATTTCTGTACAGTAGATAGATCTGTTAGCTAGCATGGGGCATGATTCTTTATTTATGAGACGTTTGCTCCTTGCTTCAGGGCCAAGGAGTCGGGTGGAGAGGCCCCTGTCAGCCGCCAGAAAGGCTTCTGTGGAGGAGAGGGACCCGGAGGAGATGGCATGCAGGGTGCGCCAGGCCATCCGGAGAGAAAACGACCCCCTGCAGAGTCTGGAGCTCTTCAGCCGCAACACGGTCTGCCCCGCCCCACACTGCGCATCCCACCTGTACTCTGTTCAAAACTCTTTTTTATTTCTTTGGCTGTATGATATAGGATAAATAAGTGTTATTATTTTGACTTAAATTGAAAATGATACACGCTATTGAAGGGAATTGATCATTTCTTAATCATTATTCTCATTATAATTGAAATAAATATTGAAATGATCATGGTGGCATTTTTTTTTTTAAAGATCTGTAACAACCCTATCATTTCTTTAAGTACGCTGACACAAAGATTGATCAATTGATTGATACATTTTATTTCGAACAAGTAAAATAAATAATTACAAAACAAATGTTGCAGTGCATAGTCATGTAAGACAAATCAAAACAAAAAATGACATTTACAACAACAGCATTAGCAACACAAACAGTGCCACATGTAACGTTCGAAAAGGAGTGAGAAGAAGTATCACTTATTTAATCTCACCCCCTTGTCCCTAAATGATTTATTTATAATCTATAATCTGCAATAATTATCATTTTTATGCATTATTATTGATATTATTAGTATTATTAATCGGCTTTTACTGTTGATTGACATATATACATATACACATATACATAAAGGTACTTACACTGATACATAATATATGCACACCATACACATCATACACCACGACATACTCACACATATCACAGGACTGTC